AAAGTGAGTGCGTGCTCTAACGCGGAAAGCACGACCTGCGAGCGCGGCTGCGTAGCGTGGTCCAATTCGATTTGTTGTGCATTTCGAATACGTCGTTCAAACGAAGGCGCGCTGCTGGCCAGGAATCCAGCCACGCCCTTATATCAAAGTCGGGCCACCTATATTACTGTACAATGCTGCCCTATTCGCCAGCAGCGCATTTTTTCCCCTGTTACATGTGCATGATATAGCATGGTGAAAAGGTGTTTTCAGGAGCTCTGCAACTTATAGTAGGAAAGATCTTGATTACCGCTAGCATGCTATTGTATTGGCACGTTTGATATGTTTTCGTAAAAGATCCAGACCTTCCAAACTATCAGAAATTATAGCTAAATTATAGCTTGCAGGCTTGAGTAGTTTATCCTGCCTTATTCTGATTTTAGTATCTATAAAACGTCTTTAGTCTTTTACAACGTGAAAACCTCTATTTATACGCAACCCAGCGCAAATCGGCGATGATAACAGGAGGACGTCGCGCAGCTTGATGTATAACCTTATATGTTATGTTCTGATATCTTTATCATGTGTGTGCTACTTCAATAACTCAAAGCTGATAATTTCAGAGTTTTGATGTTATGGCCGTAACATTACATACTACTGCGGGTGATATCAAGATTGAATTGTTCTGCCAAGAGTGTCCGAAAACTTGCGAAGTTAGGAAATTTTCAGTGGAAACGTATAAACTTCTTCATTGGCTAATTTACATCTTTTAAGAACTTTCTTGCTCTTTGTGCCAGTGATTATTACAACAACAATATTTTTCACAGGTGACTCCTGCGCGCATGTTTACTCCCTTCTTTCCTTTTATCTTTTCTGATTTACCGCAAACCGCAGTATCTTATTCAGAAATATAAAGGACTTTATGGTCCAAACTGGTGACCCCACAGGAACTGGGAAAGGTGGTAATAGTATTTGGGGGGCTCCTTTTGAAGACGAGCTCTCCGTAGAACTCCGAGTAAGTTCATGTGCTGCTTCCTGTTTGTCGTACTTTCATTTTATCTCAATACGGGGACAGCAATTTGAACCCCCTTATTTCAGCACGACGGTCGAGGGACAGTGTCTATGGCAAACAACGGTCCAGATACAAATAAGTCGCAATTTTTTATCACATACGCCAAACAACCTCATCTTGACTTGAAATATACAGTGTTTGGAAAGTGAGTCTGACTTTGTCTGATGTCTTGTCTATGCCACTTATTTGCCTTTCAGAGTTATTGATGGATTCGATGCGCTTGATGAGCTTGAAACTATTAAAGTTGACGCCAAATATCGCCCAGTGGTGGAACAGAGGTATATAATTCATCAATATAATGTGAGGCAGTGAGTTTTGATACGTGTTTGGGATAACTTTAGATACGCCTGTCTGTATCTAGTGGTACTTCCCGTGGATTAAGGCTTACGCGGTAGTTTTCTCTTCGGAAATTTTTTGAGAATAATGAAGCTCTTAAAGTTTACTAGGTAGTCGGGCTCACTTGGCAGCAGATAAATGCCGAATGCCTCTTGGCAAAAACTTGTGACCTCTTGCCAGATAACAAATTTAAGTCTTGTTCTTTAGATTCACAGCTAGCTTTTGAGGAGTCTTTGTGAGTAAAGTAGTAAATGTCATTTCTTAGGAAAATCTTACAGAATACGTGATGTCACAATTCACGCCAATCCTTTTGCGATATGATAGAAGCTCCCAATTTGCTGTGAAGAAAAAACCGCTTTTGTGGGTTTTTTTTTTCATTTTCTTTGCTTGAAGATCTCGTAATTCATCTTCAGGAAATTATATTCAACCCCTCAAAGAGACTTTGAAGCGGAAAAGGCGAAAATCAAACAATCTCAAGAGTATTTTAAGCAGTACATTGAAGAATATTATGAAGAGGACATGGAGGAAAATGAAGAGGGACTTATCTTGAAACCTAAGATTCCTGTTGACGATTTTAAGTAAGCCTTGTTTAGTGTGTAAAGAATTTTTAGAAGAACTCATTTTTTAGTGTTGAGTCGCTGGATGATATACTAGGACTGCTTAGACGAGAACGAGCTCAGGATGTTGTCGTGCTAAAGTTAGGTTCCGATGGACCAGGTGTTGTTAGTACAATGGTGAGGTTTTTCAAGAATGGCTTGTGATCTCTTCATGACAAATCGTAATAGAAATGTTTCATGTTTACACAGTTTTAAAAAAAATTATTAGTTGTTTTCAAGGTTGCAGGCAATCGGACATTGCTTACTTTTCTGTGTTAATACTCTCGTCATAGTTTTTCTTCAGATCATATGTAGTCCTTTCAATGCAAGACATGGCGCTGCCGTTGCTGATGTTTTGAGAAAAGCGGGGAAACGATCAGATGAACAGGTACTTTTTT